CAAACGTTTCTAGAGCATTAAAGGAAGAACCTCCAGAATGATCAACAGCTTCATGCCACAAGCTGTCAGGAAAAAATGACTATAATCTTAATTTGATTTGATTTGATGTATCTGACAGCTGTTTGCAGATGGAGATGGAACCTTGGGACGTTGCACTTTAATTAGGTCCTTAATAATTAGCTTCTGTTGTCAAACATTTGCTAAGACAGTACAAACTAAAAGCTCACAGACAAACTGTGAGCTGGAAACAATGTGACATTATGATGAATGTATAAATAAACAGACACAAAGAAGACGGGAGGACAAAACCATGAACCCTAACGGACAAATTCACAAAAGTGTGAACATTAACTAGTGAACTTGGGTAAAATATGGACTCCTTGTTATTGTTTTCATTGTTTTGGTTTCCTTAAGTCTATTATGATTGTGGGGCCCCTTCACTGACCCCTGGGCCCTGTATGAAAGCCACAGAGGAATGTACACACTGTGTTTGGCTGTTGTTCTCTGATCTCTGACAGACAAAGACAGGCAGCATGCATCAAAACAATGAGTGCAGCTCTTCCAGTCTCCAAACTGTGAGCTGTGATCGCTGAAAAAAGCACTTTGTATCCACCAAGTTAAAGAAATAAACTTTGATTCAAGCAAAGTCAAACAGGTAAAAGAGAGAGTGCAGTCTATATTTGAGATGTTTGAGTCAGTTTTTACACTGTCAACCTCCTGGTGTCACATGAGGTCCTCTGTCTGATCAGTGATGTTACAGCAAGGGTTTATACGAGGGGGCGGTGCTTCTAGTGTGGGTCAGCAGGAGTTCAGAGTTAACAGTTAAAGAGACACTGCTCTCCTTCACAACCCGCACTGTGCTAACATGCTCACAGGAGGAAAAAAGACAAGGGGCCAATGAGATAGAAAGAACGATGGACAGAAAGGATGAGAGGCAGACATTGAACAAATATCGATGAACAAACAAAATTCAAACCAATGTAAATTCATTAAATACAGCAAAAACAAATCATTAGAAATTAACAACATGTGACATACATACTGTATGTTATATTCATTAATTCCTAACATACATGTAACTAAAATAAATACAAAACATAACATAGATGATAATAAAAAAAAGAGAAAATTATGAATTAAATTAAATTTTTGGATATACATATTGAATGAATCAATACACTTATTAGTTCGGTAAAAGAAAATAAAAAATCTGCATTCATTAAATATATGAAATTACAGTTGTGCTCATAAGTTTACATACCCTGGCAGAATTTGTGATTTTTTTTGGCCATTTTTCAGAGAAAATGAATGATAAGAGAAAAACTTTTTTTCCACTCATGGTTAGTGGTTAGATGAAGCCATTTATTGTCCAACAACTGTGTTTACTCTTTTTAAATCATAATGACAACAGAAACTACCTAAATGACCCTGATCAAAAGCTGACATACCCTGATGATTTTGACCTGATAACATTCACACAACTTGACACAAACAGATTTGACTGGCTACAAAAGGTAACTATCCTCACTTGTGATCTGTTTGCTTGTAATCAGAGTGTGTGTGTAAAAGGTCAGTGAGGTTCTGGGCTCCTGACAGACCCTTGCATTTTTCACCCAGTGCTGCACTGACGTTTCTGGATTCTGAGTCATGGGGAAACCAAAAGAATTGTCAAAGGATCTTCGGAAAAGGTAATTGAACTGTATAAAACAGGAAAGGGATATAAAAAAATATCCAAGGAATTGAGAATGCCAAACAGCAGCGTTCAAACTCCAATTAAGAATTGGAAAATGAGGGATTCTGTTGAAATGAGACCACAGTCAGCAACAAAAATTTCAGCCACAACTGCCAGGAAAATTGTTCGAGATGCAAAGAAAAGCCTGCAAATAACTTCAGCTGAAATACAGAACTCTCTGAAAAAAGTGGTGTGGCTGTTTCAAGATGCACAATAAGGAACTTTAATGTGAACAGTTTGCCCTGGTGCCTCTTGGTTTTTTTGTTTTTGTGTTTTGTGTGTTAGATCATAACTTCTTTTCTGTTCTGTTCTGGCTGCTGCAAACTTAGTGTGGGAGTTACCCGAGTCTTGGTGAAGACTATAACTCCAGCTAGCAGCTGTCCAACTTAGTTTAGGAGTTACTCGTGTCTTGTGTTTTTTGTGATGTGTCTTTTGAGGCACTTTTTGCTTAGATTATTTAGTTGGTTATGGATGTTCCTATTGTATTTAAGTTTGGCTAATGAGTTTTGTTGTTTTTGTTGAACTAGCTTTTGGTAGCCTTTGTTTGGTTTTATTTGGTTCTTTGATTTAGCAACACCCATTAGCCCGGTTTATTTGTATTATCACAGGTTTTTTGTGTGTTCATTACATAACTGAGCAAAAAACTTTGAGTTAAGTTGAGTATATGTGACTCAATAGAAATGACATGACAAAAATAGAGACAACTTTAAGTTTAAGTTTGATTGATATTGTCTCAGGTAGACAATAGAAAAGTGGGTTTTCTGAAGGTTTGTGAAGACGGAGTTATCTGTTTTTGCAAATGAACTCTTCAATTATACTCTGATTATTGTGTTCTAACTTTTTTTTATTGTATTAGTATATTTTACAGTTGTCACTGTATTGTTCTCTCTCTTATCTTTTCCGGTATAATCTGCTGTGCGGTATGCCATCTAATTAAACACTTTTAAGATGCACAGAGAACAATGGAAGGAGGAAATGTGGGTGTAAAAACTGGTACCTTGACTGGTAACTAGAGCAGATATAAATGTATTCATGTGGAATAGAGTTTTGGGGGTTTTCCGTTTTGTGCCATTGTGGAATCATTTGTTCATGTTTGTTTAGGATGTCTGATTGTATCACTGTATGTAGATTTGGCATGCAAATGCATCAAAACTAATATGATGACAGTTTTATTGCACTTTAAATAACACAAACAACTAAATGTATAAAGGTAACCTGGGTTTCTGTAAATTAGACACACCAAGTTTCTATTATGTACAAAAAGCATTCATAAACACTCTTGAAAAAGAGACTTTTAATCTCAATGAACATTTTCCTGGTTAAATTAAATAAAAATCAATCAATCAATCAATCAATCAATCAATCAATCAATTAATCAATCAATCAATCAATATACACTAATACAAACTTTGTGTTGGTTCCTGCACAGCTCAGGACTTTACTTTATCCTAATCCTTATTGCTGTTGCACATTTAACACTTTTTATTGTCATATATTGTGTTTCTAATGTGTTTGTGTTTTTTCATGTTTTCCTTCTTTCAAAAATCAATTTCCACCGGTGTGGCACTGAACTGTGAGAATAAAAGGTCGCATGATTTGAGCAACAAATATCTCGTGTGAAAATGTACCTTTTTCTTTCTCCCACACGATGGAACTGAATCTCTTAAGCTGAGCAAACCTATCACAATTCCATTCATTTACCTGCACACTATAGGCTTTAAAATAGGATTCTGAAGGAGGTAATTAACCAAAAATTGGGCTCAATGGCTTCTATTATATAAAGGGTTGTAATGATTCATCTGCAGAGTTTACGTATTTTTTTTAGGAACAACAGCCCTCTAAACCTTGCAAATTAGCCAACAACTGCTTGGTAATGGATTTTTATCCATTAATTGATCCAATAATTAATGGACAGAGTCATCTTGGTTAACAAAGAACAGAGATAACATCAGCCAAATAGCAGCAGTGATCACATGAGGTAATAAAGTGAAAAGTAACGCAGATTAAAAGACTTTGAAAGGGCTCTGGAAATTCGGTTTTTAAGGGAAGTGAAAACCTTCATAACCAGGATAACCTTAATCCCCTAATAAAAATGATCTATGCGTAAATTATGGGACAAGTCATGTACTTTCTACCTTATTTTAAATGAGGCGTTTAGGATGTGTTTACGGGGTACATTAAGGTTAAATGAAGTGCATTTTAAGATTTTCTTGGTCAAAAGTTCCTCAACAGGCTCATCAAGTTCTTCAAACCTAAGAGCTGGACTCCCAGTATCAGACCTAATAGTTCCCAGGCCCCTGGAACTGTGAGGCAAATATGGTAACACTTCTGTTTAGATTTAAGTGCAGAGTATGAACACTGAATAAGTCGTGAACACACACGTATCAGAAGTGTGGTCAGTGTCTGGCGGAGCTCACCTCGGAGTAGACGAAGAGCGGCAACACGAGCACCGCCAGCATCAGATCCGCCACCGCCAGACTGACGATGAAGTAGTTGGTGGTGGTCTTCAGCGCCTTCTCGGTGAACACGCTCAGACACACGAGCAGGTTCCCACAGATGATCACCACGATCAGCAGCACCCCAAACAGCAGGGCTGGCAGGTTGTATCCCGTCGCCGCCGCCTCCGCCGCTGCGCTCATGTTGGCCGCCATCTCCGCCGCGGCTCCTCCGTCGGTCCGTCCCGGTCCGAGCCACAGCAGCGCGGCCAGCGGGCTCTCATGAAGGCCGTGTAGGACTCTGGTTCCCGCACCGTGGGCTCATCGTGTTGCCTCAGAGAATGGACTCAGACTCTGACAGACTTGAATGAGGAGCTCCAGCGCGCTCCGGTGCGCACTTAACGCAAAAACCCCTCCGCGTAAAGCGCGATGGATACAGGTAAAACATATAATATTAGATAAATGCTGACGAAGTTCCGCCTCTCCTCTTCACAAACACCATTTTGCGTCAAAAAAACTCAGAGGAAAACGGACAGAGTTTGATCAAAGCCGCATTAAAATTCTCAGATGATTAGAAAGTTGGGGAGGAAATTGACGTCTCCTCCGGTAAAACCCGTCAGGACCATGCGGAGGGACGTTTTCAGCTCCGGTGCATTTACCTGCAGCCTGCTAAAGGCCACCAGGGCCAAATTAACCGATTAAAGCCGCTTATCAGCTGCGCTTTACGGTGTCCTTCAGCCCTTGAGCTCCAGCAGGAGACACAGTTTGTCCATCTGTCTGTCAGTTCATCTGCGTGCCTGTGAGAGTGTGCGCGTGAGGACATGAGCGGCCGCTGCAAAAAATGTTCTCCAACTTTATTTAACACTTCATTCATTTCAACGCAATGAAATAAACATATATTACATTATATTACATGTATTATATTACATACACAGACTATACATGCACACTACATTATATATATAGTTATATATTCTGCTAATTAATCCTATAAATATGTATATAAATATGTATATACACACACACACACACACACACATAGACACACCTTGGATTAACTAGCAGAATTGGAAGATGTACTCAGATATTTTACTAATAGCAGTAATGGGCTACCAGAGAAGTTAAGAATTTAACATGACTTAGCATCAACATATACTATTGCTGAGCAAATCCTGCAGATGCAGTTCAGGATCTGCAGTTAAGGTTCACATCAAAGATCAGAATGGGGAAAACGGTGTGATCTCAGTCACTTTGGCTGTGATTGTCGGTGTTGGATGGGCTGGACTGTGTGTTTCTGAAACTTGTTTTCATCACAGTAGTCGCTCAAGTTTTCTCAGAATGGTGTGAAAAACAAAAAAAAGCATCCAGTGATTGGCAGTTCTGTAGCCAGAAAAGTCTGTTAAAAATATTTTTCCCGTTTATAATAGGGACAGCTGAGGAGAGACAAGAACGTAGGGAAAGAGAGGGGATGACATGCAACAAGAAAAACCTAGCATGAAACTGAACACAAGCTGCTGCGTAAAGGACATAGCCTTAGTACATGTGCACAGGCGCTTCAAGGTGAGCTACTGGGGGCACCCTAGCAAAGCCTTTTTATGAGAGAGGTTAGAGAAAAAGGCCAGACTGGTTGGAGCCGGCAGAAAGACAACAGTGAGTCAGATAACCTCTTTAAAACTGAGCTGAGCAGAAAAGTATCTCAGAATGCACAACACGTCCATCCTTGAAGCAGATGGCCTTCAGCAGCCATGTCAGGTTTAACTCCTGTTGGCCAAGAACAGAAATATGAGGCTGCAGTGGGAACAGACTCACCAAAAACTGGACAGTTGAAGACTGGTAATACACAGCGGGGTCTGAGGCATCTCCAGTTGTGCTGAGGCTGCAGATGGTTGTTTCAGAATTTGGCACCACGAGCATGAATTCACCCAACGTGTCTTGTGTGAACAGTTCAGACTGCTGGTGGCATAATGGGTTAAGGGAATGTTTTCTTAGCACTCTGGTTGCCTTAATAATGTTTAATTTTGGTTTGATTGCCACAGCCTACCTGCATATTGCTGCTGAAAATGTGTATCCCTTTATAGCCACAGTTAACTGTCTTGACATTGCTTATTCCAGAGGGATGATGAGCCATGTCACAAAATAGTAGCTGTGTCAAACTGGTTTCATGAGCATGAAGATGAGTTTAGTGGACTTCACAGTCACTACATGTGAATCCAGGAGAACATCTTGGAAAAAGGGTCTAACATCTTGTGGAAACCATGACACCAAGAACTGAGGCTGTTTGAGATCCAGTATTAGCATGCTGCTCCTAATAAAGTGTTTGGTGAGTATACTTTAATTACCACCAGTGGAAGTACTTATTATACGGAATAAGTACAAGCACATCAAAATACCCCTCAAAATGGCAGTAAGTAAACCTTAGGTTGCCCCTTCAGAAAATACACCTAACTAAGGTGTTACTTTTGCAGGTCCTGTCTTATATGTTAATCTGTATGTTTATACAAAAAGAAGCAATCTTAAACCCTTAGAAACACCTTAGTACCCACAGGCCTTATTTGTCAAGTTGGCATGTTTCATTTTAATTTTCCCTTTCATGGTTACTTATTTTTCTTCTCACACCAACAAAAAAAACTTTAAAATGTAACTGAAATCATGTCTTTGAATTTTTACCAGAACTTAAAAACTGAAGTCCTGTACAAGTATAAACCAAGGGATTTGCATGCCAGAAGGCCATTTAAAACATCTCAGTATGCTACAATACATGAATTTATATAATATTAGTCCATTTAAAATCTCATGAAAATAATGTAAATTCACATCACAATGTGTTGTGGGTGCTGGGAAAACGAATGCAGCACTTAAAAGGTAAAGTGTGTGTGTTTTTACACAAAACACACTGCAAAGAGAAATAGTACACTTTTAAATTTTGTGGTGATTAAATAAGGAATCATTTAATGGTTGAGGGGATTTTAACGATATATTTGCACAGTTTAGGTGGTTTATAAAAAGGTAAAAACACTTTTATTTATTTTGCTAAATAACATGAAAGCCTTTGGCTATCATTTTTACATTTGAAAAGCTTTATTTTGTCAATTAATGTAAAAATTCCAAGATGGTTATAATGCTGTTATGGTAAATTTATGTTTAAAATGATAAAAGTTAAACAAAACAAAACAAAAAAATGAAACAGATAACTTCATGATTTATGTTATAGAATTAGAATTAGAATAATTAGAATAGAATTAGAAAAAAACTTTATTTATCCCTTCGATACAAGACCTCAGGGAAATTGCTACACCAGAAAAAAACAACACAACACCAACATGAAATCAGCAACAACAGCATTCAAAATTCAAAATCAAAATCAGCATTCAGTATTCAAAATCATTCAAAATTAGCAGCAACAACAACAACAACAACAACAACAACAATAATAATAATAACAAATAACAACATATTACATATACATATTACATTATATTAGTGGCACCAAATGAATAGATATGTTCCGGAGTTAATAAAGGATCATTTCATGGTCATTTAAGTGTGTTCATATCTAAGTGACAACGTAACATTTATTATACGCTGGTGTTCAAAATACATCACCCTGGAATTTCACATTTTAGGCTGTTTTTGATGGTTTGTTACATTAAACTGCCATGTGGAACGTTTGTCTCCTCCTTCTGGCGCTGAGTGTAACTTACAAACACTGCTGATACCTCCTGAGGTTTTGTTCCTGGTTGCAGTTGATACTGTTGCTGCAGTTGCTCATCCCTTCACCTCTGGCAAACCAGTCATTGACGTAAAACATATTGCTGCCAGTGTATGAGTTCCTGGCACTGACAAGCTTAATCACCATTGCATGAAGTCATTTACTAAAGACTTGAATGTAGGAGTCAGAGAGTAGTCCTACACTCTGTCTTTGATACAATACCAAATTACTTAAACCTGTTGTTGATTTTGTATATTCTCTTGCCACTTTTCCCCAAAATGAAGGGAAATGTAATGGATTTGGTATCTGTTGAAACTCTGAGATAGCCACTGAAATTTAGAATGTTGTTTGTGAGTTGAATTGTTGAACTGAAAACACTACTTTCACAATAAAAGCCTTGTTGAGCTTTAGAGGCTAAAAACAAATTGGTGGGACACTTTTTGCAGTATAGAGTGAAGAACTGAGGTTTGAACTGAGAGGAGAGCTGCAGAGAGGTGGAATCCCCCCCTAAAGGCAGAAAACTACAGGAATCCTTAATCTCAACATCTGGATTTATATCAGTCAAGACAACGGACCAACATCAGAGGAGAGACAACAGAACCAGGAAGCCATTACAAACTTTTGCCTCAGTTACAATTCAACATTTAATCAGTGCACACATTTTATAGTATATATTGTAAACATATGAAATTCTGATCAAGGTCCAATGACTTTTCAGGGTTCCCTTCTTAAGTGTTGCTGGAATCCCACAGAGGCATAACAAACAATATGAACGATGGGGAAAATGTCCTTATGTCGACTTTCTAGTACCCATTAGCCTGTTGAGAACGTGGTTGCTTCTTTAAATAAAAATAATCATGAATAAAATTAAGCATATTTCCTTTAGAATAATTTCTTGCAATGTGGGGACAGCAAGAAGGAGCATGAAATTTACAGAACATCTAACTGAAAAGCAAAAAGAGTAAAGGAAAAAATAAATAAAAAAATAAAAATTTTAAATATCAGTTTTCAAAAGATCATCAGAGTTGTGTTAGTGGCTGTTCAGTTTCTTCATACAGGGTTTCTAAAATCCTGCCTAATAGGACCAAACAGCGCTTTGGAAGACACATAATTTGTGTTTAGAGTGGTTAGTTTCCCTCACAGTGTCAGTCAGTAGCAGACTGTAGTATCAGACTGCTTTCACATGTTTTATCACTGACATTTTCTCACTGCTGCTGCCCTTCAGTTTGCTTCAGGATCCAACAGATGCTTCAACATCCTCCTCCTCCTCCATCACATCCCTCCATCCTGACCATCCTGCCTGTGGCTGAGAGCAGAAGGAGCAGAGAAGAGAAAAGAGGAGGGAGAATCTTTGCTGCTCGAGTCATGAGTTTCTTTCTTTTTCACATTCGCAACAGGAGCTTTCAGACTTGGAAAGTTATTAAGTCCACAAGAAATCCTTATTTATCAAACGTGCATACAGGGCTCGTACACACATCAGTGTTGGTAAATCCCACTTGTTCTTAAC